TTTGAGCCGAGATTGCTTGAGCCACCTTAGTAATTACCTACACTACCTCTGGGGCTCCGTATTATAGTTATGGTATAATATACCCCAGAATCCTATTCTAATTCTCGAGGCCCCTACATTCGGCTTTTTACCCTAAGATTAAGGCGGGTCACAAGCTGCGTGCGATTTTGCAGGGTTGCGGGGCCTCTGGGTCGGCCCTGCGGCCCGTATTGGGGCTTAGGGTTTAGGACCTTCCCATTTCTAATTCTACGATAATATGTGCCGAGACGCTTTTCTTATTTTTCAAAGCCTCCATATCATGAATCTTAAATCTTTGAAGGTGTGAGCGTTTTGGTATAGCATCCTACTGCCAACAGACAACATCCTGCCTTACGCATAGGTAACCCGAAACCCGAGAGAATTACAAGGAGCTACAACAACTCCCATCCTTAGAGGTCCTTCTGGTACTGCCGGGGTTTTGAGTGCAGGGTTTCGAGCCGGAGGGGCGAGTATAGCAGTCTGCATAATTGGAAAACGTATCTTTCGAGCCCTTTTAAAGACACAACGGTATCCCAGGTTGTTTTAAGACATTTTTGGAATCATCGAACTGAGTGCCTTGACCGAATACGGCATGGAAGAGGCCCATGCGGCTTCCTTCACGCTACTTCGCCAAGGGTCCCATCGGTGCCGAGGCAGGGAACTTGCTATCATTCCAATTTTGTGCACGAGGCTCTGTTTATTCGTGTTTGGCTCACGGTAAAAAAAAAAACCGCGCAGTCTAAATTCCGAGCTCCAGCAAGACGGTTCTTGTGTTGAGGGTGTTTGGTGCGGATTGGTGCGGGTAGGGATCATGACAAATTGGGTGCAAGGCGCTTTGCGATTGTCGGGGGTGAATGTGCAAGAACACAAACCGTGCACCTCACGACAGTCGTGGAAGTGCTATACACTTCAGGCCATTCTAAACCATTTCATCGAAGGCTTGCACTCTGGAACCCTTATGCACGCCCGTCCCGCTCCACAACCGCAATACACAAAAATCTGCTCTGGGACATGCGCCATACACAAGGAATGCTGCCACGAGCCCCCTGCAACCCGCAGACTAGCATCGAAGCCTGTGTTACCCCGACCATACTGATCCCAGCAAGCTGCAAACTTCCGACCCCAACTGCCTCCACATGTTTGTGAGATGGAAGGTCTATGCAAGCCTGCTAAGTAAGACACTACTTTGGAACCCGGTAAGATCGAGTATTTGGGTGCTTGATGCTTAGTTGGTTTTGGCTCTTGCCTGGAGGTTGGTCAGTTCGATGATGAGAAGAGGGCAACTCGCCCGAAGCCTTCCCTTGCTGTTTCGATTTAGGGCTGAGGGTTCGGAAATGTTGAGGCATGGATCTGAAGCGCTAAACCCTAAACCCTATAAGCCCTAAGCCCTATAAGCCCTAAACCCTAAACCCTTTAAACCCTAAACCCTAAACCCTATAAGCCCTGAGCCCCGGCTCGGCTTTAGGGTCGGGAAGCTTAAGGCATGGACCTTCAACCCCGGAACCTTAAACTCGGGTTGGGGGGCTGGGGGTTCAAGGTTTAGAGCCCGAGGTTGGAAGTTGTTATGGTTTGGGTTTCCGGGGTAAGGAACAATGTTGGTTTTGGGTTCAGACAGTACGTAAGTAGTGGCTTTACGGTGTTAGGGTATGTTTGTTGAGACTTGCATGCCTGCACATTGCTGGACCTGGTGGGACCTTGAAACGGCCGACACCGTCGTCGGTATGTTTTGTTTGCAATTGGCTTTCTAAAAATCAAGTACTTTCAGATACAGCAAGTGTGAGAGGCCAAGCGGCTGGCTTCTTCATGGTCTTGAAGCTTTGTAGGTTTGGAAGTCAAGACAACGCGAATATCTTGGAAGCCATAAAGGTCCGCTCACTAGATTAGGCTCTATAGATATCTCTTTGGGACGGAGATCTGTTCACGGGGCCTTACGATCTTCGGGGGAATGCCATGTCAAGCTTACTTGCAGGATCAGGTCTATGGAGGTTCAAGCTTGCACCGTTCAACATGTGGGCCATGAGGGCTTCCGTGAGATATGGGGGTTTCCGAAAATAGGGGACCCTAGTATAGTACCCTAAATAGTAGTATCCCTAGTATAAGGGCCCCAAAATATGGTACCTTAATTTTCGGAAACTCCCATATATAGGCCAAGCAACAGGCCAAGCCCCACATGGAACCCCGGATGGAGCCTCATCTAGGTTTTCAGGTTGATTGACAATTCGAGATCTGTAAGACTCTCTTTTCCAACGTCTGCCTTGAAAATCCGCATCTCCCGAACCCGAAGCACTCACCCTAAGGCTCCACAGTGCCCACCAAATATAGGGGCCTTAATAATTAGAATAGGGTTTTGGGTGTATATTATATTTGTAAAGAGGAACCCCCAAAACCCTACGTATTCTAAATATTAAGGCCCCTACATCATGTGAGCCCAAAGGCCTACCAAACAAACCATGGTCTCGGAACCTGAACCCTCATCCAACAGAAAACGTATATAAAAATGACAAGACACCTTAAATCGTAGACCTGTGGGCCCTGATTTAAAGGATCAGATGGACATAGACCCTAAGTCGAAACCCTAAACATATACCCTGCAATCAGCAACACAACTTACTTAGCCCTTGTCCTTGGGGCCAGATGGCACAGACCCTAAAGCCTGAAACACTAGGCCCTAAACCCGTTATCCAAAGGACCAGATGGACATGGACTACTACCGGGGTGGTGGGGCCCCGGCAGCGTCCAGCACCAACGGCACCCCGAAGCGCATGGAGACCTTGTGATTGAGGCTTCCATGAAACCTCAAAGCCTAAGGAATCCCGAAACCTTTAACCCTGAACCCTTAGAAGCCTCCTAACGTAGACCCCAAATTCTGAAAGCCCTGTACTCTAAGAGGGATTATTGTAGGGCTCCCTTAAAGACCAGGGGCTTCCTAGGGGTCTACATTAATGAAAGGTTTCAGAGGGCTATCTTGAGCTGTCAGGCCTGAGGCCTCGACAAAGCGAGCATTCTTTGCTTTGGGTGTGTGGTCTGCGCAGAGACTCCCAGGCGCCTTAGCGGGGAAATATAGCACTAACCCACATTACAGAATACTATGTGGGGGTTTCCGAAAATAGGGGACCCTAATATAGTACCCCAAATAATAGGATCCCTATTATAATAAGGACCCCAAAATAAGGTACCCTAATTTTCTGAAACTCCCATATGTACATAAATATGCTTGTAGGAGTTCAAACTGTTGGGTTCCTGATCTCGCATCACCTCTAAACCCGACATAAGCCTCAAGTCAGAATGTTGGACCGACGCCGCCAGCTCATCCAAAGCCTCGCCCCAAGGCTCCAAAGAGACAGTACTGATGTTTACTTCCGGCCCTAAATCCCTATACTTCTATATTCCCCATGCCCGAAGCCCAGACCGTTCAAGTTTAGAGCGAGTCCGTTAAGCCGAAACTGAGCCCTTCCATCCAAACCCTGAACCCTAACCCACGAAACCTCAGCCTTGTCCCCCCAACCCGAAACCTTTTACAGTGCCGGTATGACCCTCCGAGAATCCCGAGGTATTCGGGGTTACCTGTCAGTGGGTCCCACGCGATGCTTTTCTATAATATACACAAACACTTTATTCCAATTATGAAGGCGCGTGTATGAAACCCTAAAAAACCTTATCAATGCCCCACAACACCCTATCCTAGTGAGAAAGCCCCCCAAACCCTTTGTAGTAGCCCTTATAGATCTCCCTACTGGAACCCTTAAAGGCACCCTGCAAAGGAACCCAATTCTTGTAATGGTGGCCCCAAATAATTAGCCCTGATCCCTACTTGGAGGCCCAGGGGACTTAGTAAGTCGGTTATAAGTAGGGTTATAATTGGGGTAACTCCATTTAGGGTACTTATAACTCTACTTATAACCTACTTACTAAGTCCCCTGGGCCTCCAAGTACTCCCCTAAACCCCAAACCCTGTTTGCTCATCCCAGGTATGGGTCCTGGCATGATGGCTCAGTCGATGGCACCGGTCCAGGCGGTGCTATTCTCGTTCGGGGCTTCTGTGGGAGCGTGCCAGGGTAAGGGCGGGTGGCGGAGCGGGCGTTCAGGCTTCAGGGTGTGAGAGTTTAGGGCATGAAGGTGTCGGGGTTCGGGGATATGTCAGGCTTTTGAGGGCTAGGGAATTTAATTGCTGCTCTGCTTACAGGCTGTGGGGTGAAGAGGGGTAGCCACAGGATTTGGCTAAACAGCAGTCTATAGAGACCCTTTCCAGAGGCCAATGGATGGGCTCAGATAGCACTACCAGGTCCTTAGCTTCAGTTTACTGTTTTGACATGGGTCCGTGTGTACAAGTCATATGCTTATATATATATATATATATGTATGTATGTATGTATGTATATATATATATATACACGTACACATAAACATATGGACACACACTCATGCTTATACATGTATGTATGTGTTTTCCTTGTTTGTTTGCTTGATTGGTTGTTCTTAGTCATTGCAATTTAGTGCTTGAGCCTCAAGACCTCAAGATTAGTCAAGGAGGATATTGCCGATGTCGTTGTGGTGTAGACCATATATACAAACCCTATTCAGATCACATGCCTTCTGAAACTCAAAAATAGGTCTCTAGACCCACTAGCCCGATATGCAGAGACTCTAAACCTTTAAACCGTAGGTTACCGTACACCCTAACGTGAAGTGTCGAAGCAGTTGGCAGAAGAGCATATCGCTGGAGTCTGAATAGAAAGGTGTCTCTTTTTTACAAGCCTTGATTACATCGGCAGATGGGGAATACCCCACCCTCTTCTTCGTGTGAGTTTGTTGAACAGCTTTCTGATGCCTGCAACGCATCGCATTGACCCCGAGACGCTGCAAACCCCAAACCCTCATGCCCCATGAAGACAGGTATAGCGACGCCATCCTAGCACCATAAAGCCCTGCGCAACTCCATGCACAATACAACCCAGAGGCGCTAAACAACCAAGCAGAAGAGGCAGAAACGAAGCCTTTTCCTGCATGTTGCCAGGCTCCTTCAAAGTACTTCAACGGCCCATCCATGCACCACGGCTGCTTTTTGGTGTTTCGTTTGTGGGTTTCGGGTTTTCTTTTGGGTTTTGGGGCTTACAGTTTACACTTTGTGAGTTAGGGTCCGGGCTGTTAGGGTAAAGGCAGCTAAGGCCTCTGTGATTTAACGTTGCTGCCTGGGCGGCCAAAAGCCCAGACCCCAAAAGGATCCAAAAAATAGATCCCCTAATTAGGGACCCTAACTGCTAAAGGGTACTTTATAGGAACCCCCTTAGGGGATTTATTTTTTAGATCCTTTTGGGGGTCCGGGAGGAGGATCTATGCAGCATGCGAATCTGAAAGCCACAGTCCCGGCATGAGGACCGGCAATCCGGTTTAGGGTTTAGGGTTTTGAATGCTAAACTAAAAACCCGACATGATCCCAAGACCTCAACCTCCAATCCCAAAGTGGGAACTCGACCTCGCGTAGACCCTGTTCCTTACAACCTGAAGCCTCGCTCACACCTTGAGAAAAGAAAGACTGCCCGGATCTCCCAAGCCGGAAGCTTGAAAATCAAAGTTCTCAGATCTGGACCACAAAATGTCTAACTAAATAAGGCTAAATCCTAAAGCCCTGGAAGCTTCATTTTTCCCAAAAACTCAAAGAGCAGGTACAGCCAGAGCGGAAGCCTTTCCGCATCGCAACGCAGCGAGCGCAGTCAGGCGTCCATGGACCGCTCGAAAAGGCGTGCTCTTCACCTTGTGCTGGTGGGCGCTGTAAGCGGGGGTACCATAGAAGCTTGCATAAACTTACCAATACTATTCCTTAGGGTTCCTGATTATAAATATACTATCAAGGAGCCCAAAACCCTATTCTAATTATGAATGCTCCTACATTAATTAACAAGTAGCCAATAGTGTATAAGGGAGCTAGGGTGTTTATCCGTTTGCGGCAGCTTACGATGTTGATGCAGGCTGCCGTTCAGGATTCAGGGATCCGGTGTGTCGGTCTGAGGGTGCAGGGGTTCAGTCTAGGACATTTTCAGGTGGTAGTAGTTACCCTTATAGGAGCCTTATAGAAGGTCTATGTACCTTATGGAAGCCTTATAGAAGCCCTATGAACCCTAAACTCCCCACCCTGTAGTTTCCTTTAATTCAGAGCTGCCAAAACGCAAGCGTCGAGGCTCCAGGCTTGATTGTCATAGGGACTTATCTAACCGAGGTTGTCTTCGTTGGGGTTCAGAGTTCAGCGTCTCGCAACGGTTTCGGGCGTAGGAACCCTAAACCCTAAACCCTTAAGTTTTTGGTTGCAGGCTTCAGGACAGATCAGGCTCAGGCCGAGAATTGAGAAAAAAACCCGAGCCCCCACGCCGCACTGGCAACACCCTAATTACTGCAGGGGCCCAAATGATTACCAACACTATTTGGGGTTCCTTATGGTAATTACGGAATTATACTTTCCCCAAAACCATAGTCTAAAGATTAAGGCCCCTATCTCAGGCAGCACAAGAAGACGACTAAAGTCGGTCATGCGGCAACTGAAGCCCAGAAGCCCTGCGAGCACTGCAGGTCTTCTAAGACCTCATATAGGGGCCTTAGTAATTACTTATATATCCCGCAACCTTATTCTAGTCATTAAGGGCCGTGCGGAAGCGTTGATGCAGAAGCCTGAACCGCTAACCTCCAACCTCCAACGACCCGCACCTTGGGGCTCGTGGGGATGTCAAGAAAGGCCCCACGAGCCCGGAGCTTGATCTTGAAACGCTAGCCACTCAAAAATGTTGGGATTTTGGGGCTACTGATCCTCTATAGCCCCGAAACCTTGCAGAAACCCTTAGCCCTGAACATCCTAAGATCTAAGCTGCACAGGAAGAGGAAGAACTTGCTAGACCCCTGAAGCCCTGAACCCCAAAAAGCCGCACAGGAAGAGCAAGAACTTGCGGAAGCAGGGTGGCACGTCGCAATCCCAGGGCTCCGCTTACTCTTCGCCCCTCGGCATCCAGAGCTGAGATTGTTTGGAGATTTTTCGTGCGGATATATGGGTGGTTGTCAGAATTATGGTCCCTTTTTGGGCCCTTATTATACTACGGCACTTATTATTTAGGGTACCCCAAAAGGGGCCATAGTTTTGACAACTACCCATATCATGGTAACCCGGGTTTAGGGTTTATAGGGTTTAGGGTGTATAAAGTTTAGGGCTTATAGGGTGTAGGGGTTTAGGGTATGTAGGGTTTCGAGGTTCAGGGGTTTAGGGTTTCAGGGCTCTGGGTTTAGGGTCTTGGGAAGCGGGTGCTTTATGCCCAAACCTCTTACCATGGCATACATCCCATAAACGGTCTAGAAAACTCGAACGCACCTGCGACGTGTTGCTTAACCCATCCTAGTTACACCTTTGAAACCGGACAAAACTCATTCTTGCCCGTGCTTTTGGTAGTCTAAATCAATACACCGTAATAAACCCTTAGACCCTCATCTCCATCCCCAACATCCACCTCAAGCTCCCCGAGACCTGTCCCCGAGTCATCCCAGAGTTCCTTGCGGGGCCCGAAAGGCTTTGATAGTAGGGTTTAGGGTTTAGGGTTTCCTCGGCAGTATTAGGGGGACCCTTCTGAACCCTACTTGTGGCTCTCTTAAAAGGGACCTTACTGAGAGGGTCTCTGTCCTCAAGGGTCCCCTTAATCCTAACTCCTAGGGTTCTTTCCATGGGTTCTCATGAAGTTTTAAGGGCTCTACCATATTTCAACGAAGCAAACCTCCGAAGCCCGGAAATCCTCAAGCACCGAAGATCCCTGTTGAGGAGTGGCTTTGGCGAGAGCATGATGTCCCAGGAACGCGTTGCGCCGCGTTTTGGAGACTTAGGCTTCGGTGAGGGCTCTTCGCGCTGTAGCGGTCATGATTTCTCAAAGTAATATAGAGGCCTGAATGATTTCAATAGGGTTTT